ACTCGAACTTCCCACCTTCCTTTTCGATCGTCGTACGCGAGTAAGCATAGTAGGACCACCTCTCGTCAGCGATTCAGTTCCCGGTTCACAAAGGAATTGGCAATCGGAAACAACGATCGTGAAATAAGCCTCACTTTTTTTCTACATTTCAGTTTAGAAGGTTGATTTCGTATTTTTGTAGTTTTGTAAGTTTTCGTATTGTTCGTATATTTTGGAATTTTGGAGTAAGGGAAGTCGATGTATCGGCTTGATCCTTCAGATCAGATCACGTCGCCGGTGATCACAAGTTTTAACGCGTCCCCTTAGGAACACCTAATATATATCTATTCATTCTCAGCTGATATAGGAAGTCGCGTCGCAATTTCTTCCAAATTGGAGAATTCAACTTCAACTTGTTACAACAGTTGACCAATGTAAATTTTTGCAAATTTACAGTATTCCACATTATTTCTGAATCTACGTGAGTTGAGAGAAATCAACTACTGATGATTCTCAGTCCTCTTTATGGGGGGCACGCTTGCGACGAAGGTGATGAAACTAGAGAAAAGGTACAGACCACGTCCCTCTGCAATTTCACAAAGGGGGAGATTCAACGCAGCTACCCAGAACCTCACCCCTTTTCTTCCGAAACACTTCCAAAAACTCGGACTTCTCTCTACTTTAGATCGCGACCTCGGAACGTCAAAAATTCCTATTTAGCAAGATCGGGGAGGGCTGTTTTTAGCAATCTGTGATCGAACGGTGGCGATCCACGATTAACTCGCGGTGAACCTCCGTGTACGCCGGTTGCTCGCTCTGTTCGAGTGAGTTCTCAGCCTCCTGAACGTTCCTCCGGCTACCTCTGTCTTCCTATCGCTCCTCCGCGACGACGTCTCTGTTCCTTGCACGCTGGTCCCCCTCGGCTCGTTCAGCTCTCTCTCTTTCTCTCTTTCTATCTCTCTCTCTTTCTCTCTTCTCTGCTTCTCTTCGTGGTGGCAACGAGCAGCGAGTTCGAATCGAGGAGGCGAGTCAAGGAAGAACCCTCTCTCGTTCCAGAGGAAGAAAGAACGAACGAACGGTGAGCAAATGCTCTCCTCGTTCGCTCCCCCTCCCCCATTCACCTCTCTCCTCGTTCCCCTCCGCTACGTGTTCGGTCTTTTTCCCTCCCTTTTTCAGCTGTCTGCCCCTGTGTTTCTTCGTTTCTTTCTTTTTTTTTTCTCCCCCGTTCTCGCTCTCCTCCTCCTCTTCCTCCTCCTCCTCCTCCTCCTCCTCCTCCTCCTCCTCCTACCTCTCTTTCTCCAGAGGTCAACGTACAGGCGCGCGGCGTGACCGAAATCACACACACGCTCGTTGCGAACCCGCTCGACTGTGACTCGCTTCTTCGTCTTTATTTGGCCTCTAATTGTTCCTTCTTGCGCGACGCCCGTCCGTCTGCTCGCCTGCCTCCCTACCTTCCAAGACCCTGGCCACGGCTTCGACGTCCAACATTCGACGAGTCACCTGAGGATTCCTTCGCCCGCGAGAAGGACCTGCTGCTGCTGCTGCTGCTGCTGTTTCTCGCAGTATATATGTAGATATCTGCCGCATGAAAACTCACGTTCCTCGCGAGGTGGCTTGCGAGTGCTCGCCTTCATCGTGAACCGGAGGAATTTTTCTAGGCTACTAGGTGACTAGATCCGCGATTTTCTCCGCTGGTTCTCTGGCCGATCGTTAAGATGGGTGAAATGGGGTTACGATAGCTTTGGAAAATTTGTTTGGGACTTTGGACAATTGCACGGGGCGTACGTGAGACGAAGAAACAGATGAAATAGTAATTGTTTTCATTGCAACTCATACACCCTAAGTTTTGGTTATCTCACAGTTGTACTTAACTTAATAGATACTATTTGATTTGGAACAAATATTGGTTCGTCGCTTGAGCCTCCAAGTGCAATGAAGTTAAATTAGTCTCTCTCTGGCTCAGGTAATCCCAAACATTTTATGAGTTACCTCCCCCTTCATTTTAGAAGGACAGCAGAAGCTTAACCGCCGCTCTACAATATTTTCAACGTTGTCCATTTCTACATTTCTCTTAGCAATCTCTACATTTTTTTCTTTTACTGAAAATTTTCGTGCCAGACTCTCGTCCAATTTTTACTTTTCTTGCTTCAAGATAGCGTCACTTCCACTTCGTAAAAAAAAAAAAAAAAAAAAAAAAAAGAAGACTTTTACGATAAGAACTTCGTTAGAAATTTTTTCGTGTGAGAAAGTTGCCGAATTTTGCATATTGAAGGCGGCTCTCAAATAAAATAAACACTTTTGGTCGAAGATCGCGTTTACTTCCGGCCGCAGTGGTGGTGTTTTTTGATTGGTGGAAACAGCCTTACTCGTTTCACGAAATGTCCTCGGACAATGGTTTGGGTCCGGGCGTGTTTACCTGGTCGGTCCAAGGGCTGGAAAAAAGGCCGAGGGAAACGGGGAAGCGGGTGTCGCAGAGGGCAGATTAATGGTCCCCGAGAATTCTCGGTAGTCTATCCAAGTGCTGGACTCTCGTTCTCTGTAGACACCCAATGGCAGAAGATCGGGGCACGCTGCGTAAACCAGAAACCACCCACACGATAGAAAATTTCATTGGAACTCCCATTGGAACTCTCGAAGAATGCAGTCGAGAACTCGAACGAGTCGCTCTACTAACTTTGAACACGGTGGTCATTTTACTCCAGCAACGCTTGACGTCTACATTCGTTGCTGCTCACGTGTATCGTTTCAATCTTAGAACCAACAGAATAGATGAAACGATTACTGATGATTTAACTGATTAATTTTGAACGAGAGTGATTCAGGTTTCTTAATAGTTTTCTTAGTAATGCGCGCAAAGTGTCATCATTTTCCTGGGAAAGCTGTCTAACCTATACCTTTTCGTTGAAGAGATTCATATAAATGAAAATGTTTACTAGTTGAAAAAAAAATATACACATACATAGAAATAAAAGGGACTAAAGTAATAATTTCGACTGATTCAAAGAAGAAACCTGACTTTAAGGATTCGTCGTGAAATTTGTCGGAAAATTAAAAACGTAAAATTCGTGTACTTTTACTGCCCTCATAATTCGTGGGCAGTAATTCCACTTACTTTGGCATTCGTAATTGAAACAATTGTGGAATGTTCTTTCGATCGAGTCTACGCCAGATTATCGTGAGCACGTAGAATAGATGAGGAACGGTACCGAGCTAGTAACGAAGCCGTAACCGCGACCTAAGGAGTAGGAGAGACTCAGGTAACTCGGTACTTGCCACGCAGGTAGAGCTTGAGACAAGAGGTATCATTGTCCGAGTGGCAAGAGGCCCGAGACGAACCGTTTACAAAGCGCTGGAAATTCCAGGTATCCTCTGTCGTTTAACGGAAAATAACAAAGTTTCCCTTGCTCTCCCTCTCTAATTCCCTGTCCCTTCCTCTCTCTCTTTCTCCCATTATCGGGAACTCAGCCGGATGTCTTGCGCATCAACCTCCGGGGTAATATCATTTCCCGTGGCAACACAAACGACACCTGTTTTCTCGTTTTGTTTCCCTACAACTTGAATCGAATTTGACAAATTCTCGCGGAAACGAAGAAGGGAAGAAGCTTCTTCTCAAGATCTTTCTGTCAGATTCAGATTTCCGAAGGTTCCAGCAATCGGTTCTACTTCGTGAATTTTCAGCTTTTCACGATTATTGATTGTCGTGGTGCCAGCTGAAAATCCTCGGAATCAGTCGAATTTTTACGAGCAGAGATTTGTTTTTTTACAAGGAATAAAAATCGCTTCTCCGGGGGGAGGGGGGGGGGCAGTTTGAACTCGGTTCGAAGAGAAGAAAGAAGAAAGCAGCACGATAGCGGTTTTCGCACGCGCCGCGTGTCAAAGTGATAGACCATTCTTCTTCATCGCGCCGTACAAATGCGTTCAACTTGACCCCGAGCCCGATAAATCGAATTTCTGGGCTTCTCCTGTGATCTTAGTCGAATGAATCCCACGCCAGTTGCTATTCCGTTGGATCACACGAAAGTGAAACTGTTTTACAATAATCCTCGATAACGACACGATCTCCCGAACGACCTGAACCGATCATTTTCCAAACAAAATTCAGTCACTTTACTCCATTTTCACGCAATGGTAAATATATCATGTAAAGCCTATTTTTATATTGCGTTAAGATGGCGCACATACGCATTTCTATTTTTGAATTATTTTCTTGAATTTGTTTTAAAATTCGTCGCTGTTTTGTTTTAAAATTCGCCGCTGTTTTACAATGGGCTGGTTTCGTGCTCGAGAGTTGGAGAAAGTTTATTACACGGAATATTAGTGAATTTGCAGTACGTTGAAACAAGTGTTTCGATTTTGATTGATCACTGGAAAATAGAACTGCCTTCGTAACGCAACAGTCCGTTCAATTTGTAACGTACAAACGAAACAGCGAACCAACCCGGGCGCCGATAACAATTTTTCCACATTTCCTTACAACTCGATGATCCTCAGATACGTGATTCCTTTCTTTTTTCAACACTCCGAAAGTAGAGCAAGAAATTCTCCAATTATTGAAAAGAGAAAGCGACTACGACTCGATCTTTAGTAACGACTCGATCAAAGAAATTCAAGATTAGATTAAGTACCTGTATCTGTATCTAGAACTAAAAATAGACCGTTGAAGAAAATATATATATATATATATATAAAGAAAAAAAAAAATCTCGTATCGACGCGTTTATCGACGAGTGCCTCTCCTTGCCCCGGTCGACGCGTTTCGAATAGCATTAATGAGTCAACGACTGGCGCGATAGCGCGTTCGCAAGGTGAACGGAGGAACGAAAAATCAGAGCGTTCTTCGGCTGGGCGAAGGGTGGCCACGAAGCGTCGGGCAAGGAAGGAAGAAGGAAGAGGCATGGTATGGTATGGTATGGTATGGTATGGTATGGTATGGCATGGCGCGCGGTAACGCAAGGTAAGGCAAGTCCCACGTCGGGCCTAGTCGCGTCGAGTCGCGTCGAGTCGCGTCACGTCGCGTCGCGTCGCGTCGCGTCGGTTGCGTGGACACCGGGCATCGGGCGCTCACGTGGCTCCCCACTTTTCCTTCGGTGCGTGAGCCTGCTCCCTACCGACACGACGACGACGACGCTCCTTTCGCCGTGGCTTCGGCAGCACAGCTCCCCCCACCCTGTGTCCTCGCGTGGCTATTCCCCTCCAGAGCGTGTGCTGCTCTGTCCTCGAAAGCTCGGGCACGACGGCAGCGCCGCCACGCCTGCCGCTCCGCAGTAACGCGATTGCTCTCGTCGAGAATACGACTATCTTGCGGAGAGTGCCGCTCCGTTGTTCCGTGACACGCAACGCGCGCGTTGTCCCGCGTCGTTCGTGTTTCTGCCTCTCTTCTTCGTTCTCTTCTTCCCCTTTTCACCCCTGTCTCCGCATCCTTCCTCGTCTGTTGCATTTGGTGTCGATCGCGCGCACGGTGACTCGTCGACGAGTGTTTCCACAGTGATCGTCCCGCGATACCACACATTCGTGCTGTTCGTGCTGTTCGGATTCGTGTTGTTCGTTTCTCGCACACACACACACAAGCCTGTCTGTCTCTCTCTCGTTCTTTGCATCGCGCGCGCGCGCGCGAGAAAGAGAGAGAGAGAAATAGAGAATCGGAGTACGTCGGAGAGTTGGTTTTTCGGAGTCGATTCATACAGAGAGAGAAAGAGAGAGAGAGAGAGCAGCCGGTGTTTCTATCCAGTGGTAGAAAGGACCATAGAGCGAGGAGATCTCTCGGAGTCGCGAGAAGCGTCACGGATTATGCCGAGACGCGACCAAGAGAGAATAGCAGGGAAGCAGCGTGGTTGTGATCGCGTGGGCCTGATGTTCGGGTCGCCTAGCGGCGACTGAGTTCGGGATGCTAAAAGTTCCCGCGGGAGTCGGCGGCGAGAACGAGTGTGTTGGCTGAAGGAGGAGAGAAGAAGGCCGGCAGGATGAGCGGGAGACGAGGTGTTGTGCTGGTCCGCGACGTAGGTGCGCATCGCGACGCCGACGACGTGACGGCCACGTGCCCCCTACGCGGATGCCTGTACGCTACTTGTCGCCACTGAATTGCCGTTCGCTGTTCTCTCTTACGTCGTGTACTACGAACGAACGTCGTACTTGGTGCAGACAGCACACAGTAATTGTGTACGAGCGAAACGGTGACCGCCGTTTTTCGTAGAAACGAGTTCGTATTTGCCAAGTGTTTGTTTTATTGTGATTCCTCGATAGATGGAGCATAGAGTGTATCGGTGATCTTTTTTTTTTCTTCTTCTTCCACGTACATACGTATTCTCGTATCCTCGTAAGTGCGCGGTGACTCGCTTGATCTTGTTTTCTGGTTGGTTTCTGTTGTTCTGGCGTGACCGAAGATCAGTTTGCGGAAAATCGTTGGATGACTTTGGTCGTTCGCGACAGACGCGAACAGGTGGCACGCGCTTCTCTCGAATCTTTCGACGCCGGTGAAAGGAGCGAGAAAGAGGACGCTGGTTGGCGTTCAGATCGGTGATGAACTGGGTTGTGTCACGGGACACTGTTATACTCGAAACCGGAGTATCGAGAAACTGGAGATCGAGCTTGATACCACGAGGTGCCGTCCCTTCCGTCCTAGTACCGATCTCTGCTTCTTCGAAACGTACAAAGTGCGTAGAGTGTTGTGATTCGTAAATAATAATAACCATCACGGTGTGCGCGGATGCGGATAGTTCGCAGTGATTGCACGCCGCGTGGATCTTGCGTGGATCCTCCAAGTGGGATCCATTCCGTGGTTTCTCGTTCGAAATCGTCAACGGACACGCTTCTCTGAAACAGTGAAACATACACGAGTGTGGGACTTCAACGAGGGATATACATACAGGATCTCGGATACAGGATCAAATCAATTGCATCAAATCGAACAACAAGTGGAGTTGGCAAGTCGCAGCGAGAAGTGGAATATCTCTGGAGGAGGGGATCGTGAGATATCGTGAGATTCCCGCGCTCGTCGTCGTACCATAGTCATCAGGCCGACGGGAGTTCGAGGAGAGGGTGAAGGGCGTCGTGGAGGGGGGAGTGATGCCGGTGAGGGTGGCACAGCGCCCCCCAGGTGGAATACCACTGCACGCCGGCGTGCCGGTAGCGCCCAGCAGCGTAACCGCCTCCGGTCCGTCGGGCCGGTGCCTCGGGGGCCCGGCAGCGCCCCCCGCCGGCTCGCCACCGCTGCCGCCCTCTCTGCAAGCGCTCGGCGGCGGTGTGAGCAACAACGCCAACAGCAACACCGCCGGTCCCGCCAGCAACGGATCCAGCAACGGTAACCACGGCCTTCAGAACACCGGCAACGCCAGCGTCAACAACGCCAACAGCATAGTCGGCACCGCGAACAACGTCGGTCTAGGTGGAGGCGTCAGCACGACGAGCGGCGCCACGAATCCCTTGCAGGCGATGGCGTCGGCGGCGGCCTCGCTAACACAGCTGAACAACATGGCGAATGGCCCGCTGCCGCCGCTAGCGGCCACTGGACCCACTGGGCCGCCTAGTTTGCCGCCTCCGCAGCCGGCCACCACGCCGACACACGGTGGCCCACCGACGCCGCACGCCGGTGTCACCGGTGGGCCCCATTTGAACGGAGCGTCCCCGAGTCCTCACCCAATGCCACCCCACGGTATGATGAGCGGATCGCCTCACGCGCCCCACCCGCACATGGGTGGCGGCGGTCCCTCGCCTCATCCTCACCATCCCGGGCCCCACATGGTCGGCTCGCCGCATCATCCTGGTCCGCATCCGATGGGACCCACAGCCAGCATGATCGGGGCCGGTATGCAGCCGCAAGGCGCGCCTGGCATGTGCGGCCCCGGACCCACCGGCCCAATGGGGCCGCACGCTCATCCCCAAGGACCTGGAGTACCCGGTCAACCTCACATGCACAACGATCCATTTTACTGCTCGCCTTTCGGATCCCACTACTTCAGGTAAATTCTTCTCTTCCTTTCGATTTCGACGCATCGAAACTATTGAACACCGAAAAATTAGGCGACTTCTTTGTCCTTTCGAGTGTTTCACGCAAAGTTCTAATTGATTGACGATAATTGGTTGATTTATTTGTTCATGGTAGGGAACGTCGTTGGCAGGTTTTAGATATTTCATTCTTGTCGATGATAGTTTTGGATAACAGGCGCGTAGCAGCGAATAATTGATGCTTTCGTGCGTGTTTCAAATCGGATTTTACCTTTTGACCACGGATGGCGAGCTGGAAAGTTGGAAAGTTGGAAAGTGTTCCTCCAATCTCGAGATTGGGAAAATCTTGAAAGTTCCGCAATGTTGACTCACGTTGCGCAACAATGAATTATCTCGTCATCTTTGGTTAAAGAATTAACACGAGACGTCATAGTTTGCGTTTGTAAAGATCAAGTGTCTGTCAAATGTTAAGACCACGCCTGTATCACTCCGGTGAGGTCCACGTCACCTTGACGCAAATTCTGTCTTTTCAACACCGTGGCTATGAAAAGAATATATTCCGTTGTTTTATGAAGTTTCAGGAAATTAATATTTGTAACGCTGATCCTCGACCGGCTTGAAATAGCTGAAATGCAGATTTCCAACGAATTAACATTTCTCGCTTTAGATTTTGCACCAATTTGAACTTTGAACGTTTGCTCGAATCGGGGGGAAATTCCACTTCCTATTTTTATAATATATTCTTTATTTACTCGACATTATTTACGATCGACTCGCAGGCTGCTAAAGTAGCTTTCGAGCAGGAAAACCAATCGCAATGTAAGATGATAAGTTGGATTATTCAGCACGCGTTTACTACTTTATTTACGATCGATCATTTCTAAAATAATTTTTAAACGCGAACGTGAAGCGAACTTGAATTATTTAACAAGCCAAATATCCGTCATTATGACGAGTCTTCGAATACTTCTGTCAAAATTGATGTTGATCTCCGGTTATATAGAAACACAACTAAATCTATTTTATTTATTAATCAATATCATTTAGTGATTTATACGTAGAATATTTCGATACGTATCAAACATTGATTCTTCTTCAGTAATTCTTACACACACACACACACACACACATATATATATATATATATAAACTGATTTGTCACGATGTGAAACAAACTTAAATCGTTTGTCATAACGGGCCGGGGGAAAAAGTACGAATCGAGATATCCTCTGGCAATCGATACGAAGTTTTTTGTTCTCTCTATTAAACGTGCTCGGCAAAAGAATCGCCGCAAAAGTTATTCCTGATAGATTCCTTTTTTCTGACTTTTTCATAAAGTTTGCCGCGAGGTAAGGCGAAGGCCGCGACCGGTGATGAATTTCCATCGGACACGGCCGCGACACGGACTTGACTCACCTTTGCGCTCCATTGCGCGAGCACGGCGCAGTATGATCAATCTTGCGCCGCGATTAGAGATATAAATAAATAATCCGTCGTTGCATCGGCTGTTGCCGACGATTTTTCGTCACGCGAAACGACGACTCGAACAGGTTTCCACCTGGGTGTATGTCGGGTGCTTTCTTTCAAGAAAACGATCACGCAAACTCTGTGTGTATGTGTGTGTGTGGGGGGGGGGGGCGGAGAAAAAAAGAGGGTGTATAGCGTGGTCGGAGAAAGTTTCCACGCGAAAACGCCAGGTTGTCTTTCTGTGGCTGTGATCGAAACACCACGAGGTTCCCTCTCCGCGCTGTAAAAGCGCAAGAGCATAGGGAATAGAAATAGTTGTTCGAAACTTTTCGTTGCAGCTTCTTCCGATAAATTAACATTTTACGATTGTACCGTGCTTCGATCACGCGATTGTCGGACTGTACAAGTACATCGTCAATGGTAGGATTTTATTTATTACGTAGATATAATTATCGTTGAACTGTGGATATTTGTGCAATATTGGGGGATTGAAAGACACGTCAAACGTGTCATCTTTTTTTTCAGAAATGAGGATGTAGATATCTACAGTTTAGTTGATCGATAGATTGTGGATAAATTGTTCCAAGTGCAAAATTTATCATTATTAATATTAAAGAGACGGAAGAAATTTCTGTGCTTGGGCTTCTCATATTTTTAGCCATATTAATTACATATAAAAACGCGAATCTGCATAAATATTCGCAGTCTAGTTATCGGATGGAGTTGTCAGTCGGACGTTCGCTGCAAAGTAAAATAGTCGACACTTGTTGTTAATAGAAAATCTTTAATTGGAAGTATTCCGTAGTGTTGCGGAGTAACGTACATTTAGATTGTTCCTTTACGGCTCGATTCTTCGTTCCGTGCCGATCGTTTGGCAGTCTCTCACTAGTACGCTCTCTCGGGCGTAGTAACAGTATACCTGGAGAATCCGTTATCATAGCTCGGCCAGGATCTTCCTGGTGACCGTTGCGCCGGTCGAACGTGTCTCAAAATGTAGCCACTGGTTAAATGGGACTGGCGCGGAGAGCACCGAAATATTTATTATTAATTCGACCTAATTATTCGCGATCGTTCGTGCTGTTTTTCAACTTCTTTTTAACACGTTCGTTCGAGCATGCTGGAGCCACCACTACTTCGCCCGTAACGGTCGTGCAAACTTTCACCCAGAATAATCGTCGACGAGTTTCAAAATAACCGTGTCAATCATTTCTCGCTCGTCATTTTGTCACTACCGGATTAGCACTTAATAAGAAAGTTAGTTTATCAGAAGTATCGTTACTTAAGTAACACACGGATCACGTTTGAAAATATTTCTTGAAAAAGTTCTCTCCACGTGGCAATAAATTTCAAGATCATCCGTCGTCTAGTAAGAATCTAGGAAATGATTCCCAAATGATTCTCAAATCTGGGTCGTCGATCCGCCGATTCATACACTGTTTCTCGTCAACTTGAAAGTTCGACAAAGGCTGGGAGTTTTGAACATTTCCTCGGCGTGACAGCAATCGCGCGAACATTCGTCGAAGCTGGATAGACGATGAATTGGGAAGTACGTAACCGTAAAGAGAGACAGAGAGATGGGATGGGATGGGATGGGATGGTTGCATCGAGGCAATTATCGTGGACAAGCGAGCATGTTCGCGAGTCAGGTGCCCTGGAACTGTCCAGGACGCAGTTTCTATCGGCTCTCAGGTAGGTTCAGGTGGCTCGCAGGTGGGAGGAGGCGGTGCGCCCGTTTGCGCAGGTGTACCGCGTGCAAAACGCGACTTCCTTCTTCGTCTTGGTGGAGAAGGTCAGAGCAGAGAGCAGCCCGGACAGAACCGATATGTAGGGCCAGTGCGTAGCTCGCCATACCACGGTGACGATTATCCGGTTCTTCTCCTTCGACCTTCTTTGTATCCGGTCTGAGCGTCTCTATCGGCTCGACATCATCTCCCTGCTCGCTGGCCCCGTCTGGTAATCGCCCTCAGGCCTCATTATCATAAGCGTTCCACGCTGCTACATTCGCACGAATCGTCGAGCCACTTCGTTCAACAACCGCGACCGTTCTTCTTCCCTTCTTTTCTGGAATCAATATTGCACGTCGACGATCTGGCCACGATCTTTTGAAACAAGTTTGCCTCTCTGCGTCAGGTTGGAGAAGGAAGTAACCTTTTCTCTTGGGTTGCTTGAACGCCAGTTCTTGTTGCAAGAGTGAGCAGTGCAGAGAACGGTTGTACAACGATTGTTTCTTGTTCGTAGAACTTTCATCGCGGCGAATCGTTTCATTTTCGTCTTTCTCCGATGTCAGTGTGCCTCGGCGATCTGAAATTTGATTTATTGAAAATAAATATTAGACTGACTAGTGGGACTCAACCAATTTGTTGTCGGAAAGAACGCGGGTTCTTGGTGTTGGAATAGGCAGTGACGAGATTTGAAATTGGGGAACTTTTGTTATAATATTGTGAATGTCGTTTCTTCTTCGTCGAACCATTGTCGTGACTATTTTCGTCTCTATCGTCGTGTCTTGGTCGATCTCTCCCAGTGGAAATTCGTCTTGCCTGAACCTGATTTATTGAGATGGAACTTCAGTTAGCGTCAGATTAAAGGGACGATTATTCACTGATTTATCTGAACGTAAATTCTTGTAGGAACGATTAGCGAAGAGGATTGGTGAACTTTTACATGTATAAATTTGTTTCTTCCAGTAGTTCGGATATCTGCTGTATTTCATATCTGCCGGATTTTGAAGAAAGATGTTCAAGTTGGGAATTTTTATTCTGTACGTGTGTAGATTTACCCTCGCGCGATCTCAGTGAAACTAAACAGTCAGATTTATACGCCTGTGATTGTGAAAAAATTAGATCGGAATTGGAATTACATGCGCTAGAGTTTCAAACATATTGCAAGCGAATCGTTTCGATCGAACTCTTTCGCGATTTTCGTCAATTCGATACTGTATATCGCGATTCTAGGTATTTATGACGTCGTTAGAGAAGTAACAGAAAAATTGCGAGAGTTTCTGTTTCCCTTTTGAAATAAATTGCAAGGGAAGGGAGGGCAAACACGGGAAAGTAGGAAGAATAAACGACGAGAAGGAGACGACGAACGAAGTTTCGAGCAACGATCGGAAGTCGAACGTCGTCAGTGGAGTTATCTTATCGCGGCCTCTCGGTAGGATAAGAAGGACCTTGATCGCTTCGCGACAAACTGAATCGGCACCTTGGCTTCGTTTGCGAGTACTCTGGTAGTTTTGCAAAATTTCTACACACGCGTTTTCAACGTTTTTTTTTTTTTGAAAAAAATTTTTTTTTTTTTTTTTAAAAAAAAAAAAAAAAAAAAAGAAAAAACGAAAAACAAATGTGTTTCTCATTCATGAAAAAATTGCTACGCTCACGGCTCAGTCGCAGAGTAATCGAGAAACTTTTTTTGAGGAAAAATGGTTCGCGAAAAAGAAAAAAGAAAAAAAACATGTTGAATCAAATGAATTACTTTGGATATAGCTTTTTAATGTTTATTTCAGGGGGAAATCTGTTCTTTTCTTCCTTTGAACTAGTTTGGAATTTTGCTC